GGATTGTGTTGAATCTGTAAATAGCTTCTGCTAGAGTAGTCATTTTCCCAATGTTAATTCTACCAATCCCTGAGCATGGGATTGGTAGACAAACAGCCCTGAACAAAAAGAACAATGCTGAAAGGATTACCATTCCAGAGCTTAAGATACATTACGCAGCCACAGTAGTGAAAACAACATGGTATTGGTACAGAAACAAGCATGCAGACCAGGGGAACGAAATCGAAGACCCAAACATGAGTGCAACACCTTCAGCCACTGATATTTGACAAAGATTCCAAAAACATGATCTGGAGAAAAGAAAGCATCTTCAGCAGATGGTGTTGGGAGAACTGGATGTCCACATGTTAAAGAACAAAGTAAACCTGTAGCTCTCATCTTGCCCAGATGGATCAAAGACCTAAATGTGAAACCTGAAACTGCTACAAGAAAACGCAGGCAATAGCCCACAGAACGAGGTATAGGAAAGGACTGCTGAACAGGACTCCATTTGCCCAAGAATTAAGGCCCACAATTGACAAGTAGGGCTTCATAAAATTAAAGTGTCTGCACAGCTAAGGAAACAATCTACCAGGTAAAGAAGAAGCCCTCAGAATTGAGAGAATCTTTGCTAGCTATACATCTGACAGAGGATTAATATGCCAGAGATACTAAGAATAACAACAAAAACAAACAAACAAAGACCCAAAAAACTGAGCCTGGGACCTGAACAGAGTGTCTTGAATGAAGAAATGGGAAAAAGGGGGTGGAGGCTAAAAAAAAAAAAAAAAAAAAATCTCAAAAATGCTAATCATTCCTAGAAAAATAAAAGATGCAAAACAAAACAACTTTTTAATTTCATCTTACCTCAGCCAGTAAAGATCAACAAAACAAATTCTGGAGGAGATGCAGAGGAAAAGGAACCATCCTTCACTGTTGGTGGGTTTGCAAACTGGAGTAACCACTATGGAAGTCAGTATGGAGAACTCTCAAAAAGATAAAAATAAATCTACCATATGACCCAGCTATACCACTCCTTGGCATATGCCCAAAGAACTCAAAACCCTTCTCCACAGATACTTGCTCAGCTGTGTTCACTGCTGCTTTATTCACAAAACTGGACATAGAAAAAATTTAGATGTCCTTCAACTAACAATTAGATAACAGAATTATGGTACATGTAAACTATGAAATACTATGCAAAGAAAAATGAAATCATGAATTTTACAAGTACACAGATCAAAGTTTAAAAAAATCATATTGAGTGAGTTAGCCCAGACCCAGAAGGACAAATGCTGTATGGTCTCTCTAGGCACAGCAGGGGCACACATACCTTGGCAGGAACCAACAACTCGATAATTGGACTTAAACCTTGCTCAACCAGAGGGAAATCATGCCTGATTCTAAAAACTTAGGCAACTACCCAGATCTAGTGGAGTCGTGGATCTCACGGAAAACCTACAACCACTCTACCAACCAGCATAATCCCTAAATACACTCTAAATATAGCCACAGATAAGTGGAGTCTTCACCCCTCATCAAGAAAACTTTTCTTTCCAAAAAAAAAAAAAAAAAAAAAAAATTACAGAAAACCCCAGCCAATCAAAACGTAGAGTTGTGGAGCCCAGTCCCAAAGCAGCTCCCACACCTATCTACAGAACACTGCAAAAGAGGGTTAAAGATTGTAAGAGCCCAAGGATCAGGGAATTTGTTGTAAAACTCTGTCTCCTAGTAGTATCAGAATCTACACTATAAAGTCTCACCCACATGACTGCCTAAACGTGAGCTGAACAGGGACATGCCAAAGTAGATGAGGAAAAACCCACAATGCCTCAATCTTACACAAAGAACTACAGGCAACTGAAAAATGTGAAAATGGGAGAAATAATCTTCCCCAGGGAAGAGCACACCAACTTGTTGTCCAATACCAAACAGTAAGCACTGAAAACACACATACAAATAACATCACACCAACTCTTACTTTTAGGAACATATATGTAAAGGTACACAGACATGAACGCAAGCAAAAAGTAATCATTAAAAAACAAAACAAAACAACAACAAAAACAGGTGCAGTGACACACGCCTGTAATGCCAGCATGCAGGGAGGCAGAAGCAGGTACACTGCTGTGAGTTTGAGGCCAGCCTGGTCTACAAAGTGAGTCCAGGACAGCCAAGGCAACTCAGAGAAACCCTGCCTCAAAAAAACAATACATACATACATACACAAGGTCCATGAACTTCAAAGAGAGCAAGGAGGATATGGGAGAGTATGAAGAGAAGAAAGGGAAGGAGGAAATAACAATTATAATCTCAAAAATAAAAGTTTTATATAAAAACAAGATGTAACTCCTCTTTACAGAGTAATTCTTAGTATGTTTAACTCTATTGTTTCTCAAATACTTGTAAATTAGAAGCAATAAACCAGAAAAAGATCAGATTATGAAAACTAGATTCAAGATTATAAAAGGCATACTTAAGAGCATAAAATCAAAGATAGAACAAACCAAATATCTGCAAATTCAGATGCAGCTTCACATTCTTGTCTACACCTTACATACATTCATAGCAGGTAACAATAGTTTCCACTTTAACGTGGAAGGAAATTCATATTGTAAATAAGGTCTCCCTCAAAATGTTTTAGTCACTATCTGTTATAGATAAAATCTGAGCTACATAGAACAATGATTTAATAAGCATAGTTTCATCATTTTCCTAAAATTTTAAAGAACAAACCATTCTGAGTAGGAAATCTTTTTATTTAAACTTTGTAAATTTTTCCTAATATAAGGAGTCTTTTTTAAAAATGTCTTGATGGACAGTGTGGCAGATGCCTATAATCTCAGCACCTGGGAGACTGAGGAAAAAGGCTCACACATCCAAGGCCAGCATGGACTACATGGGGAGACCCTGCTTCCCTAGCTTTCTCCCTATACGTAATTTTCATTTTACCCTTTTCTCCATGTGACTGTAAATTCCCCAATCATCATTGCTAACACTGAGTGCATAAGGTAAAGAATCAGAACTTACACCAGCCTCCTCATTCTCTAGACCTGACACCTAACTCCCATTAGGACTTAATGCAAATCATGTTGTAATGAGAATTTTTGTAGATTAACCTCTTCTGTGGTTTTAGATTATTTCCTTGGTAAAAAATCAATGAATACAAAGTTGCTTAACTTTTTAAAACTGCCATCTGATACCTAATAGTAATAACATTATATAATTCTCCACTAAATTTTAAGTTTATTTGATTATACCTCAACTAGCAAATCAGTATTTTGCTAATGAAACATGTTATTTTTTCATTTTACTTAAATTACTGTTTTCCTAACAGTGTTACTCTGCTATGTCCTTCACTAAATTACACATCAGATATCTTAGTTTTCTTTCTTTTAAGAAAAGCCAGTAGTTAATGTACATTAGACACCAGCCACTTCTTGTATCTTCTAGACCACATGCTCTCAAGGTTTGAATCCTGGAACTGGAGAGATGGCTCAGTGATTAAGAGCACTTGGGCTCTTGCCGAGGATCCTGGTTCAGTTCTTGGCACCTACATGGTGGCTCAGAATCCTAATCCCAGTTCTAGGGAATCCTATGCCCTCTCTCACATCTACAAATTCTGCACACACATGGTACATATGCACCAACATAGACAAAGATACACATTCATAAATTATAAATAAATATTTTAAAAGGTTGAGTCCTCAGTCAAATCTGTTCATCCTTTTTAAAATTCATTTTTAGCTTAATTTGGGGAGGGGGGTACCCAAGGAGGCAGAAGACGGCACTGGGTGCCTCAAACTGAAGTGACAGCTCTAAGTCTCACAATATGAGTGCTAGGAACCGAACTTGTGTCCTCGGACAAAGTAATACATTCTTTTCACTGCTGAGCCATCTCTCCAGCCCTCATCATTTCTTTCACACCTATAGATAACTAACTTTAACTCTGAAAAAAAAAAAAAAAAAAACGAAGAAAAGTCCTTCATTTTATTCTCCTTTAATTTTCCTTTTTTGTGTTTGTTTGTTTAAATTTCTAATCTACCTAGATGGAATAGGAGGATAAAAACTGCCCGTAAACTTTAGTTGTCCACCCAATCGTTTTATTTAGCACATCATTATATAGATATTACGTTCTTATTTAAATGCAGTCTGCTCACAGGCTAATAATTTTGTCATTTGTCTATTACTATTCTTTTCAGTGCTGGGCATCACACTAAGCACTCAGCAGTGTGCGTCACTGGACGCTTTACACATGTGTGCACCTGGGGGTCATGAGCAGGTCAGAGATAGGACGTCTTACTGGGTCTTGGACTAAGCTGGCAGGCAGCCTCAGCCACCCTCCCGTCTCCACTCCTGACAGCATGCATGGCCACACCCACCTTCCACAGAGGACGGTTCTGTGTCAGGTCCTCGTGCCGCACACCCTTACCCACTGAGCCACCTCCCTAGCCCCACACTCTGACAATTAATGTTTCTGCATCTAAATGCCAACACTATTCATTATTCCTGTCCAGACTTCCCTGGCATCTCGATCAGAAACAACTGAAACACTACAAGACCCCAGCTTTCCCCGCCAGGAATACCACTGAGTCTCTGTTTAGTTGAATCTCAAGGTTCTGGCCTTTGGCCTCAGACACCCGGGTGCTGGGATTGTAGCTATGTACCTGCACATTTGGTCTATGCGGTCTGAAGAGTAAGTGGCTTACGAAGGTTTTGTGAATCATAGCAAACACTACCAACTGTGCTACAGCCCAGCCCCATGCCTTTATTTTGCTAATCAAATCTTTTCTGTTGACTTGAACGTTTTCATATCCTATAAAATATATATGCCACTTCAGGAAACTTTTTGAAATAGGGTCTCAGTTTCTAATAGGTAGTCTAGTCTGAGCTAAGTTAACAATCCCCCTGCTGCAGCCTCACAAGCAGAGAACACAGGCATGCAGCACCATGCTCAGGAAAAATACCCAGCTTCAAAACCATGTTCTAACAAGCCTCATTTTAATTCAGCGAACACTAACCTGTATCCACTTCCATATTTCTCATTGTTTTTCTCTCGTCTACGTCTCTGCTTCTCTCGCCGAGCCTCAATTCGCCGCTTTTCTTCTTCTTCATTTTTAGGATCAGTTTTTGCTAAGATTAGGGGGAAAAAAAAAAAAACCAACTTCATTTTAATACATTGGGACTTTCTATATCTCCTTCATCTCTATGTGATTATCTGCTATACATTTTTGTTTAAATCTGCTCATTTGTGCTTATCCATACCAAAATGGATAAGTATCTACAGAGCCTAAAACTCATCCTGGGCTCACTGTGTAGACCAGGCTGACCTCAAACTCACAGATATCCATCTGCCTCTGCCTCTGCCTCCACCTCCCGAGTACTGGAATCAAAGGCATGCACCACCATGACTGACTAGGAGGAATTCTTACTACCATCACTTTTCTTTAAAGCCGTTCCTTCAATGAGACACGCAATAAGAAGTTCGTATTTTAAAGTGGATTTGGTTTAAAAAAAAAAAGTTTTCTTAAAATCAAGTTTGAAACCTAAGACATGGTTTGTATTGCAATGAACTACTTTTTCTGTGTTCTCACTGTATACACAATCCATCACTGGCCAAACACTGCTCAAGACATAGCTATATACACTGTGTGGATGGCTAGGTTTTTCTAGGTATGTATCTAGGAATGAATGAGTCATGAGTCATATAATCCAGTTTCATCGTGTGAGGAATGCCAGTCTTTTTCAAAGTGCATGCCCTGCTGTTCATATTTTTACAGCAGTGCAGAAATTTCTCCACAGCTACCAGGAATATTGGTAAATGCCCTTAGGTCCAATGATCAGGACCTAATGCAGGAGGATCAGCCTGAATTGGCATATGTGCTGCCAAAGCTAACTAGTCTTGAAGTGGGAGACATCTCAGACTATACAGTCAAACACTGGAGCCAGGACTACAGGGCACGATCACACCTCCAAAAGAGAAGCGGAAGGAGGAGGTGAATGGGGCAGCAGAGAAAGTATCTGTCATGGGTGCGTGGCAACCTGAATATATCCCTAGAACACACAAAGGGGAAGCAAAGAACCAACTGCACCAAGTTGTCCTGACTTACAGATGCACGTGCGCGCCCTCATGAGCTCATGTCCCCCAGTCAATCCTTTAATTTACTCTCTGCACAGACATTCCAGGCTTGTTAGCAGCTCTGGGGCTTCCTGCAGTTGTCTTATAAGGGGCTGCTGAGCTCACTGGCAACTGAAATGTCTGTTTGAAGACATGCTGCACTTATTCTTTGTCCACATATGTCTTTCTGTTAGTGCCTTAAAGTTCTTACACACTCTGAACACAGGTCTTTCTAAGATAAACCGTCCGTACAAGTATTTTTTACATGCTATGAGTAGTAGAGGAAACAGAGTCACATTTACCCTAAGCTAACTTCAAATTCACAATCCTTCTGCCTCAGGCTCCCACATCCTGACATTACAGGTGCACACCAGCACACAATTTCTTTTCACTTTCTACTAATGCTGGTTTTTTATTTTGATGGAATTTAGTTTTTATTTGCTGCTCATGCTTTTGGTATCCTGTGTAAAAGTCCTTGTTGAATACAGAATCACGAATGCTTCCCTATGCCTTCTGCTAAGAGTTCTGTGAGTTTTGCCGAGATCTTTCATGTCAGCCTCTGCATGAGGCTAGTCAGCCAACTTAAGGACAGGCACAAAGATTGCGCCCTCCTCCTCTGAGCAGTCCGTCTCCACAGGCTAACAACACGGGACCACGAGTGGCTCATTCCTGTTTCTCAGCATTTTCCCCACACATCCACATGTCAGTCACTGTGCCAGTGCCACTTCGTCTCAAGTGTGAGTCCCTTGCCATCAGAATCCTGAGAAACTAGAGCCCAAATTTAGGAGCTCATGTCATCTGGACATGCCTTCCAATCTTGTCTAGCTTCCCCTTAATTAGATTTTTCTCTAATTTCCTTCACCACTGTTTGTCACTCACAAAATGTAAGTTTTGTATTTTTTTAAGCTCATTACTAGATGTGTCACAGCCCTTAGTACTATTATAAATTTTCTTATTCCCCATCTTCAGATGGGCTTAAAGTTTCCAACTCTGCAATAATAGAAATATAATTATCTCTAAGAGACATCATCTCCAGAAGACTAAAATCAAATTAGTTTTCTAGAAGAAACAGTTTACCTAATGCTAAGAACTAGGAAAATGTTCTTCCCCTTGTCCTGATACAAAGAATTCTGTACATTATGGCATATATTCCTCCAATAATAAATATAACATCCAAGAAGAGGTCTGAATCAAAATCATCTGCAAAGCCTTTTTAAAAGTACATGTTGCTGGGCGTACTGGCACATGTCCTTAATCCTACCACTAAGGAGGCAGGACAAGTGAATCTCTGTAAGTTCTATATATCAACTGGCCTACATATCAACTTCTAGGTCACCCAGAACTATATAGTGAGACCTTGACTCAAGAAAGAGAGAAAGATGAGTGGGTAGTTAAGGCTCAGAGAGAAATAAAGTGACCAGTGCACATTAATTTTAAAGGTATAGTTGAGGGCTGCCAACGGATCGGCAAGGAAAGGCAGCTGCCACCAAGCCTTATGGCCTATGTTTAACCCCTGGGACCTATACAGTAGAATGACAGAAGTAACGCCTACAAGTTGTTCTCTGCCCTTCCACATGCACGCCGTGGCAAGCACATGCCCACATACACACATCCCTACATTTAAATAGCAACAATCGATTAATAACTAATAAAGGGGACTCACGGGTCTAATTTTCAGTTATAACATAATATTATGTACTTTTCTCTATGAACACTTTCTAAAATGTAAGCATCCTGAGGTCGTCTTACTTACTAGGTGATTTGCTGAGTTTCATCTTCTCCATAGGTTTTGCTAGCTTAGGTTTCTTGATAAAGGCTCCCCCAGGCTTATTAAATATTTGCATCATTTTTCTTTTTATTCCTCTTGCAGTAGCAATCGTCACATTGGTAGGTTTGTTTTGATAGTCAATAATAATTCCAGGTCTATGAATGCTTCCATAATCACCCATATGCTGTAAATTTGTGAAATCAAGAGACATTAGTATAATACCAAAACATAAAATATGAATTAATATAATTTTTTGTTATCTATTTACTAGTTTTCACCTGAAAATTCTGTGGAACTTAACTGAATTTTACATGTCCACTCTGAGAAAGCACAGATACAATTTTATAAATTATTACATGAACTTAAACCCAATGGATTAGTATCCCCAACATTGTAAGGTGTGTCCCACTGACTCTTACAATTGAAATCACTGGAGACCATAAACACCGTGTGCCTGTCAGAGGTCACACTGACAGCTCTCTCACAACTCCTCTTCAGAGTTCCTACTTGATGCTTTCCATGAGACACCTTAAAAGAAATCTTTTATTTTACTACAACCTTGCTTAAAACTACAATACACAGAGATGATCGTATTTGCAGTTTAAAGTAAAAAAGATCCAGAAACCATTTAGGATTTCTCCCTGTTGACACGGGAAGGAGAAGGCAAGATGGAACATTAGTATGAAGTAGGAGAGTTAAAGCATAACCATGCATCAACTTCCAAGACACACTGCAGATAAGGATTGCATCTGACGTTCCATTCACATTCTTACCTAAAGAAACATTATCACCCCAGAAGCCCAAGAAACAGAAGTCTCAGACAAAGAGTCATAGCAGCAAATGACTCTTTGTTCCTTCCTCATCTCCTGCCATGAGCAAAACCACTACATCAAGAGGCCATGTCCATAGATATTCATTCTTTAGCCTTACTTGTAGAAAGTAAAGACTGAGGAGTAATCTAAAGAGAAGGTCCTAATGGGAACTGGACAAGTGAAGGTTCAAATGAAGACCCTACAGGCTCATCTACTTGGCTAACAGAAGGAAGGACAGAAAGTCCACTCAGACTAGAATGGTAAATACAAAGTACAGGAATACTCGATTTTACTTTCAAGAAGGCAAAATTGATACCTGAGACCTCATGAAGAAAAAATCCTTTGCCTAAAACATTACACAGCACAAAAGATGTTAAATATGTTTCTAAATTTTCCAACTAGAATGTATTGTCAATCTCAAAGCCCAAAGCCTACTACTCCAACTATTTTCAACTAACAGTCATCAAGCATACTGCAACAGCACTGCACGCACACAGTGATGTATGATTAGAAGTATCTACTGTGCCTATGGAATTACAGAAGTGTCACATCACGAAAATCTTCCTTCAAAACATTAAAGGTGCAATGCATTTTTATGTAAGTAAAGAGTGGCTGCTGAAACTGTAAAGATTCTACACAAGTAAGGCAGACTACACTGAGGAGCAGAGGCTAATGGAGTCAAGCACACCCTACCACAGTCTTTATCACAACACGTTCCTTCTTCTGCAAGGAGAAGGAACACAACTGACTTTGAAAAGACATTTTATAAGAATATAATTAAACAATAGTATTTACATGACCAAACAACATAATCCCATCATCTATACAGCCTTACTAGGTAACAGTTTATCATCAGGTTAGCCAAGATCACAAAGCATAATTGATACACTGTATAGCCTGAAATTAAACACCTGAAGAGTAGTTTATTTATACAGTTAGGCAATAACTTGCAAAATATTACTTCCTAGGAAGGAACTGTAAACCTATATACAAGTAAGAGATTCTTTCTTAATAGAGCTGGGGAAATAACACAATCACCAATAGGACATATAGTAAGAAGAGCAAGGTAGCAAAATAATGCTGACCACAAATCATTCTACCATCTATTATACCTATCAACTTCTTCACCATGTAAACATGGCAAAGCTATCCTGATCTATCACTGACTTTTGATGTCTTGTGTGTTTAACAGGAAACATGGAACCTTAAAGGAATTCTACTTTCTAGAGTTCAGTAACAAAGGATAAATATTTATTATACATTGCACCTTTAACCTACTCAAAAGCTCAAAAAAGGTTCAATTACCTTTTACAGTAATCCAACAACTATCTCACTAGCAAAATTGCTAGTGTTTACAAGGAAAAATGCAACTCCTTTTAACCCCTTTTAGACCAAACCTAATGTCCTCACCTTTTTCATAAAGGGAGCTTTGAGACAACTTCATGAATAATTATCTCACACTGCAACTTATTTTCTGAGGTGCTGGAAAACTCTTGCAGCCAACCTATGATGTTGTGACTCAGCTTCTGGTTAAAGTACACTGGGACGAACAGTGTCTGTTCTCGTTGAAAACCATGGTCTTGAAAGGGTTTAAAAGAGTGACTATTGAAAAGAATCTGAAAAGATTCTGTTGTACTTACTCCTCGGCCTCGGCCTCTGCCTGTTGATGGTCCTCCAAAAGCATCATAGTTTCTGCTTCCAAACGTACTTTCAGGATAAGCAGGCGTTCCTCTCCCCCGAGAGCCTACAGGTGCAGGCTTCATATGGGGTGAAGAAAAACCGCTGTAGGAAGAGTAATTCTCTCTTCCTCTGTCCTCCATAAACCCAGGCCTCAATTCTGAACGGGAGTAAGGTGCTTCCCAGCTAGACCCGCCCTGGTTTCTACCTCCGAAAGAGTCAAGGCTATTCCGGTAGGAGCTCTCAAATCGACCACCATAACTACCTCCGAAGCGGCTTTGTTCGGGCTCATTAAAACCATAGCCAGATCTGTACAGATCTCGCCCACCCAGAGAAGACCTGGAGTCGTAAGACTCATAAGGTCCAAACCTGGAAAAGTTGCACAGTGAGGGAAAAAACAAAAGTAAGCTTACTAATGTTAGACAATTCAAAAGACAAGTTATCAGATGACATTTATCAACTAAAATTCACTTATACCATAGCGGTTTGCACAGTTCTACTTTGGTCACACTTGATTAGGGCTGGGCAGTTCAATATGAGACCAGACAGAAAGCTATCTGAGTCAGTTTCTAAATATAAATCGAGTTCAATTAACCTTAGCTTTAAACTCTGCTTTTTAGCAGCTTTTCTATTTTAATAAGATTTGTCTGTCTAATAAAGCCCAGCCCTAGTCTTAGAAAAGGTTGTCTGCTGAAGTTCACAAACTAATTAAACTTTCTCTGAATCCTTCCCTAATATTTAAAATTATAAAGCATTTATAATATTTTGGCTTTTCATGGGGACACAAATTGAAGACTGCATAGATGGGGATGGGTCTTTGTGACAGAGTGATCCTTTGCACCTCAATAATCTATATCACAAAACTGCCTCATTGTGTCTGTAATAACGAAAGCTGAGGAATTATTTCAGGTTACAAAGTTTGACATTTTGCCAAACTTCAGCCAAGGCCAATCCTTACACATTCTGACAAACTAGTAAATCTAACAAATCTAGAAGAATAAACATGTAAAATAGAACATAAAAGTAAAAGACCACAACATATACCCTCTACATACGAATTTTCAAAGCAGATGAGAAAGAATACATTTTATAATGCCTTCAATTATTTGAAAAAGTATTTCCTATCAGAAAATTATCACATAAAACTACTCTAAAAGGTAAGCACACTGTCTCAACAGAAAAAATCATTTTACTTATCACAAATCCAAAACATGGATTACAGAAGTTGCTTGTTATCTTACAACACGGTTTTTAAAACGCTCACAACTACACAAGAGATGAACGATAACAGCTACAGAAACAGTTTATGCACAATACACTTACAATGTCGGAGGGCAGTAACTGACACCCTAAACATTTAAATGATCTTACGTTAGTCAGTGATTTACAGGTCCCTCAACTGAAGGCTATTTAATTCTGAAGCCTGGTGGCCATATAATACTATTCCTCTTTCCAACTTGGTATTTCAGACATGACGTAAGGATAGTAATTTACTGTTTGTTTTCTGGATTTTACTCTACTAAAAACCACAGTGGCACACTGGAAACACAAAGAAAAGCCAGCATCACTCACGCCCGTCATTAGGAATCCAGGTCCTTCAGTTTAGGAAGGACGATGACCTCAAATGTCTAACTAGTTTGTACTTAGAAGGAAGTGTTATATCTCAAAAAGCAGACTGCTTTGCGGCTACCAGAACATGATCAATCCTAAGACCTTTAGCTCTTTAACTAGACTTTAAGTCTCGCAGAGTTTCAACAGTAAAACAGAAATAGTCTAACTGTAGTTAAAGGTGCGGTGTCCATGGCCTTAATACAGCGCCCCTAATTTTTAAGCACACGTGGATTCAAATGTAAGCAGCAGCTGCCAGTAGCAACCTGGACATGATTTAAAGAACACTTCTATTATTACAATATGCTCTTCAAACTTGCTTTAAAAGTAAGTGAAAATCCATCTTAAATGTTTCTTAGAAACTGAAAGCTGCAAGGCTGGTTCAGCTAAAGCCACTCGAGGCAGACTATTTTGTTGTCATAGTGCCCATATTAGAAAAAAAAAATTTTCAACAAGTAAGAAAAATAATTCACAAATAAATATTTCCAGTAACATTTTGTATCATGTGATCAGGATATTATGACTGATAAGAAATTAAAACTAAAAGAAGGGTTTCTTTTTCTTTTTAAAGTGTCCACCATTAAAGAATGTCTTATTTTATTACACTGAAATAAAAGACAAATGGTGCCCTCCTAGAATAATGTCTGCCAGTGAGACTGAGAAAATTTTTATACCCATTAATGAGCACCTTTAAATATTTAAGGTGAGAAATCAATACCAAACAGCAAACTTCTAGTGCCATAAAAGTCTAAGGAATACTTAATATACCCAGAATCTTACAGGTGTCTAATTATCTGGCAAGTGATTAGGCAATTTACCTGCTACCCCCACCACCACTGTGACTGTCCATGCCATAGGACTGGGTTAGGTAGGAATCCATGGATCTTTGACCCCCATAGGATCCATGGCCATAGTCACGATCCAGTCCTATAAGAGTTTAAAAAGAAAAAAATTAAATGCTGCTCACCTTTACTGGCACTCAAAAGAAGAATTTTTAGATAAATATCCTTGAATGCCAGACCTCCGTAAGATCCAGGGCCATAATCACGATCCATTCCTGAAAGAGTCAACAAAAGATTATGAGTAAAATACACCATTTTCATGGCAAAATTTTTTATTAAACACAAAATAATCACTGGGAGGTAGTGCCACAGGACTTTGATCCCAGCACTCAAGAGGCACTGGCAGGTGGCTCTGGAGTTCCAGGCCGGCCTGGTCTACAGAACAAGTTCCAGGACAGCCAAGGCTACATAGAAAAAAAAAAAAAAAAAAAGTTTCCACAATATATTCACACAAATTATCTAAAGCAACAATTTGCATTAACATTTGAACTCAATATTGAAAATAAAAAACACCAAAATGATATTTATTAAAAGGCTATTATTTACTAACAAAGCTTCATGTTTCAAAGAAATATTCTACATTAAAATTATTCTCAGTGTAAGAAATATTTAGTAGACTGCAGGGCTAACAATGTAACACCTTGTGTTTAGAACCTATTACTATGGCATGTAAAAAGGTAACATATAAGCTTAATGAGTGGCTACTAGGCTCAAAAAGTCATCATTTAATAAATCCCAACAGATTTTTTTTTGTCGTGAGTACATTTTGATGAAAATACATACTTGTTTCTGTATTAATTGCTCTCCAATGTCTAAAAACTCAAGAGCACCTATATTTTTAACTAGTTCATAGTATTTTGGTAAAGTAAAACCAAAAACTAAGACCAATCTTTTGGCCCTGGGCCTGAACAATAACAAGGCCTCAATGAATGATTTAATTTTCAAATTTTTTTAATAGAAGAAATGAGTCTGAATCTTCATAATACAAACACTAAAAAAGCTAGTGTCGGAGTAAACAAAAAGAAAACTAAAGGTTATAAAATTAATTGATAATGACTATAAAGATGAAAATTTACTTAAATTTGCTCTGTAAAGTCCCTTAAAATGCCTCACTACTACTCTTTCCATATTTTATTATAAATACAATAGTAAACAGTTAAAACATTATATATATTCCCCCACTCCCAGGCAGGGCTTCTCTGTATAGCCCTGGCTATCCTGGAGCTCACTTTGCAGAGCAGGCTGGCCGCAAAATCATGTAGATCTGCCTGCCTCAGACTCCCCAGTGCTGGGACTAACGGCGTGCACCACCACAGCTAGAAAATGTCTAATTTTTAATAAACGTCAGAGAAGTAGTTATCGTAAAATGATCTACTGACCAATGAGTTACTGAGACCCTTTCCAGAAATCAATGAGGCCAAAACTATCTTCACAAATAACAAGAATATTTTTTGCCTTTCCTAGGAGTTACACTTACCTATTAATTCTGATTTAATTACATCTTTGTGCTACTCAATGTAGTGAAAGAGGAAGCGCACATAAAACAATTGTGCTACATAGAAAGGCTCACAGTTCTCTCCCAGAAAAGCCATTGTACCATTATCTACTTATTTTTATAAAGAACACTTTCAGTAGACAGAATAAAAAACAAAAGCTATGGTTTTCATGGGACTATGAACTTGGCCAAAGGCCCCTGGCTGGCTAGGTAACAGGCCCTGGAACCTGCTGCTCACTGTGGTTTAGTGCATGGAAATGGCACACACCCCTGTAAACATTCACGTTTCAGCTCATAGGACAGTGATGCCCTCACCGCCTCGCTCAGAGATGTGCTTTCTACAGTGGGCAGCAGCTAACATGGAGCTTCAGAGCTGGCCAAAGGACTGCGCAAAAGGGACTGTGGTGTGTCCAACCGCGTAAAGGACATAGGCACCACCCCTTCCACGGCTCAGGGAACTGTGAAGACAGGGCAGAAAGGGTAAGAGCCCAGTCTCAGGAGCGGTGAAACGCTGTCTTCTGGACACGCCATGGCAGTTACACGCATCAGCTCATAGCACCTTGGTCAGCTGCGTAGAGCTGAGCCTGTCACTTCCATCATGGGCTGGAGACCAGTTCATGAAGCACCATCAAGAGGCTTAGGAACTACTGGTGGTTAGTGGTTGCTCGGGGAGAGGGAACCATTTTTCTTCAGTGTCCACTGGTGAGCTGCCCACGCTCCAGTAAACAAGCATGCACCCGTGCTCATTCAGACAGTCCATATATGTACATATATATATATAATATACATATATATGTACATATATGTACATATATATATATAATATACATATAAATAAAACTCGGCGGGTCAGAGTCACAGACAGAAGAGCACAGAGGAGTAAAAAAGGAAGCAGAAAGGATAATGAGGATGAATATAATAAAAATATATTGGTATCATGTAGAAAACTGTCAAAGAATATATTTTCAAACCCATGGTTTTCAGACATGGGCATTTAGCAGACATTTTCTCATAATGCAATGAAACTGTTGCTACAAAGATTTGCTGCTAATGACAAAAATCCATACTTTAACCTGAGAAAACCCAAACTCCCTAAACGCTCGTATCAAGCACTGCCAACCTGCAAGCTCCCAACACTTGAAAGGCTCTCTAGGTAGGGGTGTACTAACACAACTTTATACTGTATACTGAACCTGTCACTATTTGGAAAGTCTGCATAACTCTCTACAAAAGAGCCCATCACTTGCTGGAAATTGCACAGTATTTGATACAGCCTATGCCTGTACCTCTTATAAAGAGAACAATTTTAGGATGAAAAGAACATTACCAACATTAAATTTCCTGCAAGGCCTCAACACAAAACATAACTTCAACACTGACTTTAACCACATACAAAAAGCAGAGAGTTTAATTATTTCTGCCAGTTTCTGAGTTAGCAGAGGCTATCTCTGCTTTCACTTTGAAATGTGTTTTTCCATGACTCACTGGAGTCACATGGCTAGCACTCAGCACTTGCGGTCTGGCACTGTGCAGAACGCCGAGAACTGTGACAGTACAGCAGCTCTCACTGTAATTCCCACACTGTTCACACACTGTGATTGGTTAAAGGCAGAGTCTTCCTAGCACACATAAGCAGTGTACTTAGAGAGACACACAGTCTGTAAACAACTTTTCTCCCTGGTTACCAAAATAAAATTTTAAATCATTTTAAGAATGTAACTATAAGGACTTTATCTCTTTACTATTAAGTGAATAAGCACTTTATTCAGAAAACAAATCTTCCCTAATAATTTGAATCAAATCTATTCTATTTACTTGAATCACAATTACATAAATAATAAGCTGAGTTGTGGGACATCCAGCAAATAAATACTAGCTGTGTGACATTGGGTCTTGAATGGAAATCCTATTTATACTCCTGTACTGACACATTGCCCACTGCCATAACCTTCACCTAGATTACTACAAGGTCTTCAAATTGGTTTTCCTACTCCTACTTTTTCTCCCCTTCTGTTTGTTCTAAAGATAAAAGCCAGAATAACTGTTACCATGAAAGGGAAAGCATATCCAATGACGGTTTACCACTTCATGCCAACTTAAAAGCCAAAGCCTTAAAGAATCTGTGATCCTATACTAGTGATTCTGCGTGTGCATGTGTATGTATGTATGTTTCTGCGTGTGCATGTG